GGTTTAATGCAAAGCACACATGTACCATCTGTGCTTTCTGGGAAGACTATTTTTCTAATGAAATTGGCAACTATTTAGATGTTAAACACACGAAGAAAACTGGAAAAATTTCACGGGCTAGTCGTTGGTGAAGCACGAATCAGTGTACAACGACCTGTGTTTAGTGCTTTTATCTACTTGGTATCAGTGGTATCGACCAGCAACCAATACATTGTATTCTAAGATATATGTCTAGTTACAATTACATTCAAATATGACCGATATACCGTAATTGCAATAATGAGTCGACCAGCATAGGTAAGAGATGGGAAAATGCCGTCACCTGCAGTAGCAATAATAAATAAAAGTTTCTTGTCTAGACTGTGCTGGAGATCTCTATCTCCCCTCTCCTCTTTCCTCTCTACCTTGCTTCTTTCTGCTCACTTCATCTCTATCTCCCCTTCTCATTCCTATTTTCATTCTCTCTCTCTTTTCTTCCATGCTTGAAGACACCAGACCAACAAAATTTAACAATTTCCATACATGTATCTGTTATATTTCCAATGTTTCTAAACAAAATTACAATTTTTTAAAAATAATTTTCGTGTATTTTTTATACTGCACTCATACATTGCTATAGTAATGATTGTCACACTGAAATTACTTCGATTTAAAAGATAAATGTTTGAAAGTTCATCCAATAGTTACAGAAGAAAGACAATTTTGGAGTTTTGATCATTAAAAAACTTCATTAACCAAACATCAAGATAGAATTTGATTTTGTTTTTTTTTTTTCTTCAAGACATTAAGTTTCTTTTTAGAAATTTTGGGCAATGAAATGCGTACAGTTGTAGTTAGTTCAGACAGACAGACACATTAGCAAAGAGTTTATGAGTTATTGAAAAAAGAATTTCACATTCATTTCGTTCTTGCCTGGGGCTTTACGTGTACTAAAATTCCTACTTTTTTTACAATGTAATCTACAAAATTATATCAAAATATAAAAACGAGGAGAAAAATAAACAAATAAAGTAAATTATCAAAAACTGAAAACAAAACTTTGGATATTTTTGCCAGGTATGAACGTAAATCAAGTTTAAAAGTTTGAGAAGAAATCCCACCGGTAATCGAGTGAACAACACTATTGAATACACTGGTAGTGGGTTCACATCCGATTAATAAGTTACCACGTGCAGTTTTCTGGGTTTCGAGTTGACAGTGTGCCGTTTTCCGGGTTTTATTCTCGCGCGCGATACCTAAATAGTGCCCACCGGTGGCCAAGTGTTCTTCGTACCTGAACACTGGGAGATCGGTCGTGGGTTCGCGCCTCGCTCGGACGGGCTGGTCACGTGGAGTTTTCCCAGTTTCCTCCACATCTGTAACGTCTAAATAGGGGCCAGTTTCCCTTAAAAAAAACTCCCGGAAGGCATCTCCCCTAGGCAGATCGCCCAAGTGTTGCGTTGCCATAACCAAACAAACCGATACCTAAATAAGAATTGACAGCTGGATGGTCGAGAGATTAAGGTGGTACCTTGACCCGGTATCGAAAACACCAGCAATTTTCGGAGTTTAGTTCGTGTGGATATATTGGGTTTCGTCCCTCACCACCCGACTTCACCCTTGTGGATTTAGCAGGACCCATAATGGGCTTGCAGAAAGGCCCTTTTAGTTCCCACAGATAGGGGATTTAAAAAAAGGAACCTAAATAGGGGCCAGTTTCCCGTAGAACTCCACCCCCTTGGTAGATTTCCTGTGTTGCGTGGCTCATCCTATCAAACCAATTCACTTTAAGAATAATTTCCATTACACGTCTATAAAGATTATTAGAGTTTTAATGGTTTTAATGGTTCTACACGCTAAACCGAGGGAGAAAAATATAATTAAAATTTAGCTTTCAATTAAATGCATTTAATTAATTTGCATACAAAATCAAGTAATAGAATTGAAATTATTAAGACAATTAGGAGCTTTTCTATTAGGACTATTAAGATTTCAGCAATCGTAATTGCCCATTCTCTTGATGACTTTCTTTCGACATATTTAACATTCTCCGAAGAATAAGAATAAGAAGAAAAAAAAAAACAATTTAATTTGATAAATTTGTGTTGCTAAAGATAAATGACAGAAGTAATTTACAGCTTTACTTGTAATCGGTTATGGAACCTTCACATTTGTGGAGGAGGAGCGCTCGATATCCGAAACTTGTGTAATCGTGTAAGCTGGCCCTTGATTAAATTCCAACATCATTCTACATCTGGCCAATCGTCGGTTGAAGTCATGAAGTCCCAAATGCCCCCAATCACAAGACAACTTAATCAGGGAAATTCCTGCTTACAATCAATGAAATGAAAACGAATCTTTTTTCATGTGTATCAGCTCTCTGAAGAATAAACGCTTCATTTATTTTTATTTTAACAAATTAATTTTATCAAAAGAAAATGTCTGACTTAATAAGAATTTATGTCTTAAATAATTATTCTTTTCGATGATATTTGCAAAAGGATAGAAATCTTCCAAGCGCCTCAAAGCAAGGGCGCTTGGAAGATTCCTTATGTGCAATTACTCCTAAAAGACTGTAGAATCTTTCAAATAGTATAGCTCCTACACCCCTACGTTGCTCCTACATCTCTACATCTTCCTACATCCCTACATAATTCTTTCATCCTCACATCCTTCTATATCCCTACATAACTCCTACACCGATATGTAAAGAGTGAAGAGTCAAAGCTATTCCATTATTATTCTTAGTTGTGTAATTACTGCTAGTCAATAAAGACGTAGCTTAATCATATCAAATCTAACATCAACGTTATAACCTCGGCGATGATCTTTTGTCGACATTCTCTTTCGATCTAGTTACACTAAAGTTATATTTCCTCCTTTATCTTATTTAATGAAGTAATCTTGTGTTACACGGACAATACAATGACTACCGAGCTCTGTGTAAACAAATAAAATTTATTATATTTTAATGTAAAATACAAATACAGTCGAACCTGTGAACGGCGGCCACTGACGGGAACGTAAAGAAAAAAAAATGGCCGTTGTTTACAGATAATTTTTTATGGACGTACTATAGTATTATCTACTCTAATATTAGCGATTTAATTGCCGTAATAATGAATTTTGTTGTATCTTACGCGAGGTAGGAGAAATAATTTCCTATTTTAATGAAGAATAATAAAATAAATACATTGTTATTGTTTTAAAATTACGCGTCAAACGCGCACTCATGCGATGCGTGTGACACTGTTCTCATTTATCCTTCATAGGCCATTAATGGGAGTAAATTTTCGAACACATCACGCCATATCTGTAAATTTACATCATAACATCACGTAATCTTCGTGAATTTTATCAGTTTGAATGATCAAGAAAAACATTTGGGGTCATAAAAGACGTCTCTTTAACTTCATCTTCCCCCTCCCCCGAAGCAATTTTACGTTTTTCAATATATACGATGATATGATATTTTAAATTTAAAATCGATTTTATTTACATAAAATGACGGAAAAATTGCATTAAAAAAAAAAAGATAATAATAAAAATTCAAAAGAAAATTGTTGGAATTCAGTAGAGTAATAACATGAATTTCCTGGATCGATGAAATGAGCCAACGCAATACATAGGAAATCTACAAAGAGGGGGCCTCCCGGGGCCTTTCTTTAGGGTATTGGCATGTATTTCGGTATTAGACACATGAAGAAAAGCCGGAATATTACAAGTGCCAGCTGAAAACTATGAAAAATGGACATGCCAGCTGAAAACTACACATGCCAATCCAAGATCCGCTCCAAAAATGGTGGTGGGTTAACGCTCCAAACATGAGTGCACATACACTCATTTTTGGAGCGTTAACCCACCACCATTACTATTGTTTTCAGTACCACTGAATCACCAAAGTTCAGTTTATTATTTACTCGGTTGATGAGGTGTGGCATAGCAACCCTTAAGCGATGTAACGGGGGAAATGCATCCCGGAATGACTTCCCATGGGAAACTGGCGTTATAAACGTGAATAAAACCCGTATAACTCCATGTGCCAACTCGTTGGTGAGGCGCGAACCCACGACTAACTTCCATTCTTCTGCAATTTTATCCACTACGCCTCTGTAGAAGTATATTCTTACGATTCGAAGATATACAATTCACCTCATTTATCATTAATTTAATATTTATTCAGTAAACTATACACATGTATAAGTTTAATTAACATTAATTAAGTTATAAACTTCAATTATTGATTAATTTGCATCTCATAATTCGTTCTAACAATTACTTATTATTCATGGTAAGCGCTCAAATGACTGATTTTGGTATACATTATTTATCTAAAAGTTAAATTAAAGGAAGCTCAACTGACAGGGGAGATCTACCTCACAGGAGTATTTTCTATAAGAAAGTAGTCTTTATTTAGGTGTTAGACACGTGAATATAACACGTGACTAGCCTGTTATTCGGGTGCGAACCCACGACTAACTTGGCTGGTTACATTCAGTACTCTAATTCAAATTTACTAGGGCCTCACGAAGCTCTAACGCGTCACTGGGCCCGACCCTTAATAATCTAACGATGAATTGAGAGTGTAAACCAATTTCGAACCCGAATCCAAGATGAAAATTCACAATTATCAAGAATACGTTAATAGAAAATCATAGAAGATTATCACGCAATTGGAGAACCAGGAGCACAGGTAAGGGGACCAGCAGGGTCGATAATAGAAAGGCCCAAAATTTACTTTTACGCATAAGAAACGTAACAGAAACCTATTTAAATTAGTGTTTCTTATTATAATTTAAGAAAAATTCTCTTAAGTTTGTTTAATTTATATAAACTTGCAGTGTGGCCCGAAAGTTAGTTAACTTAGGTGTATAGTTTTATGACCGATTGAAACTAGAAGATACCGGGGTATGTTGTATTCACACGCTTCGTCTGGGGCGTTAACTGACTTTTGATCCACCCCGTATGAAGAAAATCCGTTTGTAATTAACTAATTTCCTGTATTCATTTCTAATTTTCAGATGTTTTACATAACAGTATTAACAGCTGGAGCATTCCAAATCAAAGATGTTGAACAATCTTTAGGTAAGAGGATTTTTGAATTGTGAATGGTTCTGTTCCACCTCCCCCTTTATCCGGATATATACACTCAATTATTCTACCTACTATCTTCTAGTGTTAACGTAATGAAGTGATTATTCTCTCTTGTCACTTTTATCGTCTTAAGTTAAAGAATGTTTCACAGGTCATCTTTATCCGAACATAAAATTCGTTCAAGCGCTCCTGAATGAACTGAATCGATAAACTTGTCATGAAGAGATAAACAATTATTATTTCCTTTTCTGATATATTTAATTCAGTCGAAAGTAAAGAATGGAATATATATTTTTTTCTATAGAAATACTTAAGATAATTAGAATTTCATTTTTTTTTAAATAGTTAAATACACTGTACTCTTGCTAATCCGGCATACTCCAGTTATAATCTCTCTCTTTCTCTCTCCCTTTCGTGTATATTTCTTTTATAAATATATAAATTTGTAATATTAAATTTAATTACAATTTAAAATTAAAAAGAAAAAAAGGAAGTTACAGCTCGAAAACTAATAAATAATGAAGGGCGACGTTCATTACCATCGAGGCCTTTCGCACACTTTGTTATCCAGCACGTCTGAGAAGAAATGGCCGGATTAGCAAGAGTCCGGTGTAGGCTTTTTGTTTTTATAATAATAATATAATTTTATACCAGAATTTTCTTTATTAGCTTGTGCATTTCTTACTTTAAGGAATAATTTTATTACCTTTCTATATTTACAGCTCTATTCATACTAACTACATTGATGCTTATTTTCTCAGCACTATGTGTTCTAACTTCTGTATTACTACTCATAGGACTATGTGTGGTAGGTAAACTCTATTGAGTTATGTCCAAAAGAAAATTTCTATTCTCCAAAATTATATACAGATAATATATTTTTTATATTAATTCACACACACACACACACACACACCAAACAATATATAAAAGACAGATAGAACACAGAACACAGTGGCTGTAGTATAGTAAAGTGTAACATGGGCTTTACTTTTAATAGTACAAGTCAACCCCCTTATAACACTGTTGATTTTTCCGTTTTATATGAATTCCATGTTGTACGAGTCATTTAGATTTTACAAATACGTGTGCCGGGCTGTAAACGGCTGACGTATTTGTAAAATCTAAGTGACTCGTACAACATGGAATTCATATAAAACGGAAAAATCAACAGTGTTATAGGGGGGTCGACTTGTACACTATCAATATTAAAATGTACTGTACAATAGTATAAAAGCCCAGGCCAAATTCTCTTCACAGTACACGTTAAAGGGGTATTATAAATGATAGAAATAGGTTTACTTTTAATATATACAGAATATTTGGCAATTTAGCCCGCCATTCGAAAAGTTTGGGCACCACTTCTTTATACAATTAAATGATAATATAAAGAGGATTTTAAGTATAATAGGTATGCTGTAATTTCATTTAACTATCCTTTTCTTCCTACAGTTTTATATGCAAAAGAATTAGATTTAATATTTTATAAGGATCATTTATTTATATACTAAATGGCATTTTTTTTTCCTATTTAACTCGTAATCTGTTTCTAGTTTGACAAAAAGTTTTCAGTATCAACGTTTCGAGTGTCATTTACTGAGTTGTTTGTCTTCTGAGATAGGACAATCGTCTGATGTTGCTGCCATGGATCGTCGCCGTTACTATGACAACCTTATTGGATATCATCCTCGCTTTCTATCTCATCAATGATACAGTAAGTTTAATGCAGAAAATAGGGAGATTACTAATTGTAACTCCTTTCATTATTTCAGCTTTACAATTGATTTTCTAGGGATAATTAGTAAATTAAACAATATCGAAAAGATATCCTTTCACAGTTTTACTGATGAAAAGGTTAATTTATATGTTACACTAATGTATCGATATATTAAATCTGGGTTAAAAGATAAAAATGTAATTATAATTAATTTTAACATCGTTGAACGTATTGAAGTGTCTTAAAGTTAAATAAATTAACTACAAGTCGTTTAATACACAAGAATTTTTATTGTTTAGTAAATTTAGTATCAAATTATTATGTTCTAATCGATTTTCAATTAATATAAAATCATTCCAATGTTATTTTGTTTAACTAAAAATGACTTTTTTTTCAAGAAAAACATATTTTGTTGACCTTTCTTGTGTTAAACATATTTTTTTTTTGTTGACCTTTCTCTCGAAAAAATATATCTTCTGTTGACCTATGAGAAAGGTCAACAAACAATGTTTTTCTCCCCTCTCATGTTGACCTTTCTCACGAAGACATTTTTATTGACCTTTTTTTTTTCAAAATACATTTTTTGTTGACCTTTCTACACGGAAAATATGTTTTTCTTGACCTTTCTAGTGAAAAAAACATATTTTTCTTGATTTTTCTAGTGAAAAAAAAACATATTTTTCTTGACATTTCATCCAGAAAACATATTTTTCTTGACCTTTCTAGTGAAAAAAAAACATATTTTTCTTGACTTTTATACACGGAAAATATACTTTTAATCTACTTTTCTCATTAAAAAAAACATTATTTTGCTCTCTTTTCACGCAAAAAATATATTTTTCGTTGACCTTTCTCACGAAAAAAAAAAAAAAAAAACACTTTTACTGATTTTTATCCACACGCACACACACGAAAGAGATACACATTTTTATTAAAAGTGATCGTCAAATATATATTTTAATCATTTAAAAAAAAAATAATAATAATAAAGCTTAATCAAAATCATTTTTAAAGCGTAAACAGTGTTGACGCATCATCAATCAAAAAATTTAGATACTTATTTTTTTTTATACTTTACGCTTAACAGATAATTTACCAAATAGCAGAATGGTGTAATAAATAACACTGAAGCATCAATGAAAAAGGGCGAGTTTGTGAATGAAATATGGAAAAGTATAATGAAATAAAAGAAAAATAAATTAAATTCTGATTATTATTATTTTACAGAATTTGGATATTATAAAAATTATATTATTCATCATCGATTTCGTCATGTGTGGCTTACACGTAAGTATTATATTTAACACGTAAACTTGATGATTTTAATGTTTATTATATTAAAATCTTCTTTTTTTTTCCTTCTTTTTTAATTATTTAGATCTATTGTTTACTGTGTGTCATCTCACAGTATCAAGATTACTTGATAGGAAGAGGAAGAGCAGGAGCCGACAACGGAAATCAAGTAAGTAGGTCATCTCCGGTCAACACACCTTCGACCGGTATGAACACTTTGTTTTAAGACTTCTATTTGTTACGACGTCAAAATTTTACGACAAATAAAAGAAAATTATGACATAATATATATATATATTTTTTGCATACTTTCTCATTTTTTCTTCGGTTAAAGTGGAGAAATTTAAAGGTTGTAAAGAGATATAAACATGGTTTTTCTTTTTTTTAATTTAATTTTTAAAGGCTGTACCACCGGTAAGATTCTTAAGCAATATACCAAGTCAGCATAATGCACCTCAGGCTATGTCTAAATCTCAGAATGGTGCACCTTCTACAAGTCTTTCGACATCAACCACAACATCTAGCTCGACTACTACAACGAAGAGTTTCCATCCAACAGATCTGAGTTCTATAACTGAGGAACCAAGTTCGTACGAACCTTCAGATGTCATTATTAATGAAGACGATGCTTCAATTCCTCATCAGAATCCTCCGAAAAAGATAAATCAGATGTCTACGGGTATATAAATATTAGTTCTATAATTTCTTTTTCTTTTGTAAGCTTAATGACGAGAGGTGAAGTTAATCAATAATACTAGAGTTTAGGAAACTTAATGAATTTTGAAACTTGTAACTTTTTTGTTTTTAATTTACTATTAATCTTATTGTTAAATTAGAAATATGGTAACTTACACGCCACCATTGGGTGATGTAAATTACCTTTTAGTTAGTTACAGTCGACCCCCTATAACACTGTTGATAATTCCGTTTTATATGAATTCCATGTTGTACGAGTCACTTAGATTTTACAAATACCTGTGCCATGCTGTGAACGGCTGACGTATTTGTAAAATCTAAGTGACTCGTACAACATGAAATTCATATAAAACGGAATTATCAACAGTGTTATAGGGGGGTCGACTGTACATCAGTAAGTGGTTCGTGAGCATAATGGCGTTTATATTTCATCTTACTTGTCGCTTTTTCTTTAATTTAAACACCTTTTTTTTGGCATTTTATAATACAATTCTAGCAACTATTAAAGCGTGAATCTGCTGCTTTTGACACCCAAACTTTTGTCTGTCCTGAACAGATTAAGCCTGTACGGGTCTCTTATTAAACACTGCAATTAAATGCCCTCTTAGTGTCTACAGGAGGTGAAGTATTAAATATATATATATACTGTATAATTATTAAATTATTTGTGAATTTAAGAAAAAGGATAGGAATTGGATAGGAGGATGATGTAGGAGAGAATTGAGAAAGAGAAGAACCTATAAATAGAAAATTACTCAATGATAATCGACTTATTACTCGCATTGTAAATATTAATAATACACACCTGAATCATTTCATTAAGTTAAAATTTCAAAGTAAACACTAATAAACTGAAACAAATGATGTAGAATTGAGATTTAACGAGATTCGATATATAAATGGGATTCTTAAAACCTCTTGTGTATATTTACTTCTACAATATCCGATATTAAGTTTTAAAAGTTTAATGAATTCTTTCTCTTCGGCTTAAAAATTTTCTATTTTTTTAATATATATATATTACAAATTACATATTAAATATTAATTATATATTAATGAATTTTTTAAAGTTCAAGTAAAATACTTTAATTTTTAAAATGAATTTCAGTTAAATATATAAATATCATTGTTTCTAAGCGTATTATTAATTCAAAATATTAATATTTTGATAAATAAACATTTACTTTATAATTATAAAGATAATTTTATAAGTATTTGTGATGAATTACATTGTTAAAAATTAAAGTAACGATTTAAAAGAAGGAGTAAGAATATTATAACTTTAAAAAAAAAACATTAAAAATTCGATTTTTACTGTTTTATTTATTTATTATATTAGAAAAAGAACGAGATTCTTCTACAAAATCAACCAACAAAGGAGAAAACGAAGAAATGCATCCAAGAAGATTATCAGCAACTCATCTCTTAGAAACAGAAATTGCTCATAACAATTCCGAAATGGCTCATATGATATAACATTTTTTGTAATGTTAAATTAATATAATACACTTAAATACTCGTTTTGTTTAAGTATATTTCTCGAAAAGAGGATTTAAAGCAGTAGTTGAGCAGTTTTGATGTTGCGTGCTGCTGTTGATGACACTAAGAACTTCGTGAACAACGATTAAGCTCTCGAGCTTAACACTAAAAAAAAAAAAAAAAAAAAAAAACAGTTTTAAGACACGAAAATGCTGAGAAGTTTCAGACCTTTACGGTTTTTATAAAGATTATTGCCAGATTTTTAAAGAATTTTTAAGAAATGGATGCTATTCAACATATCAAATCTATTATAAACTTCTATGAATCTTCTATAAGTGTAAACCATAATCAATCTTATAAATATTAACCTTTTTTTCCCATAAATTTAACTTAAAATAAGGTTTAAAATCCCTAAAAATTTAGGAAAATTTTAATGGTTCACTTCTTTTTTTGGACGTGTACTTATACTTTTAAATATACTGGAATTTTTATTATTTAAAAGATTTATCTTATAAAATTTAAAGAGATTAATTGATAAAGAAGTTTGTAAGGTATAGAATGAAACTTTTTCTATATAGAAACTGATAAGAGTTGTTCTCTTTACGAGGCAATATATATTAATTTTTGGGAGTAGTACGTAATTATGACGTTTGGGAGTGGTCTTGATTTAATCGCTTATATATAAATCATCGCCCACTCCCAAAATTAATTATTAATATAAACAGTAATGTCTTTTCAATATCATATTTAAAAAACAAATCAAAATGTAGAATTTCATGTTAGTTCTATACAGTATTATACATTAAAAAACAGGAAAACAGTTAATGAAAATTGCTTGTGGAAAATGCTTGTTGTTATTTATATTGGAATTTACTAACTTGTAATAATTTGTTATAAAATATTTCACGATTTTAATATATATTATAAGAATTAAAACGTGTATAAATATAACTTGAAGAGATACAAAAGACAAAAATTTGCATAGATGATTCTCTCTGTAATTTAAATTACATGCCAACTGGAATGAAGGCTTTTATCTTCAATTTAAGAAGATTTGAAAATAAAATCTTTGTTTAACAATGAATTTTACAGTTTATTATGATAAAAAAATACTTAAACTACACTCCCAGTAAGTAATTTAGACTTGTAGACTATTCATTTACACAGCAACTCTTCATCACTTATTCTTCTGCAGCATCCTGATTACATTATCCAGCATTCATCCTTCACTCCTCACTTAATAGATGCAGGTGATACAGGCAACGTTTATAATCACACGAGGAGTAAAGGCAAATTATAATAATTTTTAAGCTAGAGTTTATTTAGGGCCATTTTTTTAATGACTCGCCATTAGCATAACGTAAGAATTAGGGGGAATTAGGGAGAACGTGTAAAACTATATTCACCCCTTACCACTGATGCTGTGAATGAAAAGTGAGCTCTTATATATTGTATATATATGTTTATAAGTGCGTTATATGTATTTATTTTTAAAGTTAAGGGAGCCAGGACCCTTCTGGGATCCCTCAGGACAGGGCCAAAAATATTTGAAAGGGACATTTATGCAGAATTTTTGTCTATTGTATTATCTATTAAGTTTACTAATCTCTAGTCTTCTATAGTTATAATTGTTAGAGTTTTATGAAAGAATAAAGAGCTATATAATTACGAAAATTTAATTATTCAACCAGAATTGCCTTGGATAAATTTGTATTTATTAATAATAAAATGTTCTTTATTTCTTTGTTAACTTTTTATATATATATTTAGGAGGAGGAAAAAAAATAGTTTTATATTAGATAAAAATTTAAATTTTCATAAAAATAATTCAAACTTTCCACTTTGTATTTAAAAGAGCTTAAAAGTGATTTAATTAATGTAATGCTGATGTTAATTATGTTCTAGCAAAATTAATTAAAATTTAATATTTCTTAATTAATTGTATATTCGCTTCTTTTATGTAAATGTAATAAAATTTAATTATTATTTATTAAAAAATTTTTCTCTTAATTATAAATGTTTATAAATAAAATATTTAACATTTCTACTTCTAATTGTGTTTTTTTTTCTTTATGTTATTTAACTCTTAAATTCGTAATTAAATCACTTAAATATTGTAAATTTAATGAATTAATTAATGAGGTTTCAAGTCGAGAGATAAAACGAGTTGAATCGTCTTAAAAAAAATTCATCTAAAAATTAAGGGGCAAATTATTAGCGAAACTCTCCGCTAGGGTACTTTTGGCGCTTTGTACCTGTTTGATTTTCTGTTACCTTCGATAATTATCGAGGACATTATGTAAATTTGGCTGTTTCGCACAGCATCTGAGAAGCATCATCAAAATTACGTTGGCCGCCGAATACAGTGTGCAAAGCACTTGAGGACCACACTGAGCAGTTTTCTCCTACACAGCAAAGTCTTTATTTACAATATGAAGTGTTGTTAGCGGCGCCAAAAATGCCACAGAAGTTCCTTTCGGTACTAATTTTTTTTAATTATTATGAAGATAAATTAGAAAAAAAATTACGTAATGAAGATAAAGGGAATTAGTTTCCTTTATCTTCGTGGAAGCTTTTCTCAAAGAAAAAGATAAAGTTCAAATTTAGGATTAAGAATAAATGAAGTGGAATAACTATAGAAGTAATGGTAGAAAAAAAAGGAAATAAGTCTATCACAGATAACGAAGATGGCTAAAAATTAATCAAGATTTTAAAGATAACCATAGAAAATGGTAGCTTCAACGTGGATTCTTCTAACTACATTTTGCAATTTGCCAAAACATTTAATCCAATTAAAGAATAAATTGAAATTAGTACACAATCTAGAAGTTTATTTTTATTGAAAAAAAACCCCATAAAATAATGTAAAATTATAACGCTTAACGAAATTTCTTACAATGGCACAATCATGATCACGCGTGGCTTCCTGATCATGAAGGTCCTTTGTAACCACCATTTACTGTTTTCCATTTTTAATTGCTGATATCCTCGATTCACACAGTTAATCTATCTTTATCTGGCACTCATTACATCTTCATTTTTCTTATTACATGGCACACGTGTGGCCGAGTGGATCGAACACTAGTCGCTGGTTTGTGGGGATTTTTACATGCACAAGTCTATGCACGTGAAGAAAACCGGAAAAATTCACGTGGCCAGCTTGTTGGCCAAACCTAAACCCACAACTAGTGTTTAGTGGTTTTATCCAGTTGAATTGTAAACACTAACGCGAAGTGTATTATCAACACAAGATTGATTCATGATATATATTCGTGCACAAGCTTGATACTGTATGTTATACTATATTAAAACTAGTGTTTAATCAATATACAGTGTAATAATATATAGATTGTAAGAGAAAGAATTGAAAGAAATAAAAAATAGGAGCAATTTTTTGGACGTGTCCACGAAACCAGTGACATAAGAAAGCTGAAAAACATGTGAAAGATGGCCTTGATTCATGGTTTTTTTTTTTGTTTTTACTCGTATAAAAATGGTTTCCAACCGTATAAGAATGCCAATAGGATGCCCAGAGATCTATAAACAGGCATCCAGATCACGTGAAGTCACATACGAAATTTACGAAGGTGCCACTGACTTTCTTACGTGTAAGAACTTTCGAACCACTCCGTATTAATGCCAGGAATATAAACAATAAGAAAGAAAAACTCACAATAGATCACAATTGATTTATCGAATAGAACTTTACACCATTCAAAATTTATTATAACATCATAAAAAAATAATAAATGTAACTTTCAAAGGTAAAATGCACAGATCAAATTTAGTTTTTGCACTTTTTAGTTGATAAGTAAGGTATAGAAACAAATTGTTAAAATAATAACAATACTTTATCCTGATGGATAGCCACAATTTCTTTGTCTTAAACCTCCGTTTAAAAATATTTTTCGGCTCTGTAAATCTATTTTTTTTTAAAAGTTATAAAGGATTTACTGCAATGGTAGATTAATATCCATTATTATACTAACATTTCTCTCTAGGAAAGTATGTAACTGTAAAGCTATTATTATTATTATTGATACTAGAAAAATTTTACCTTAAATAATGTTTGAAAAAGGATAAAAACTGTCTAAAACTTATTATTGTAAGTAAATTATTAGGAATTTTGAACTCACCATCATATATTTTATTTAGAGAGATGATAAAGTATTATAATTAATGAAAAATAAGCTTGTTTATCCATATATTTCTGTATTAAGTATGTAATTTTAAATAATAATAATAAATAATATTCTAAACATAACTTTTAATGCTTCCTACACCTATTTTAAATTTATTCTAGTATCTAATTTTATAATATTTCGATCCAAGTAACTACAAGAAAAATTGAATTGACAATTCCGTTTGATATATTTGTTACTCGATTCACAAAAGCCTGTTACATGGTGTGATTTCGTTCAAAGGGTGACCTGATTATTACCACGATTTCTGCTGCTCCAGTTCTTCTTTAAAGAATGTTGTATGAAACTCCGAAAGACTGCTAACTTCTGATACAGGGCAACGTTTTCTTTCTTAACACCATCAGCAGTAACAACTATTTTCTAACAACTAACAGGAAAAGTAAAGAAATGTAATGAAATTCCAGTTAGCTCTTTCTTTCAGTGACGTTGCACTTCTTTACAGCAAAAACATAAGATTAATTCTAGAATAATTAATTTAAGCAATACAGTAACGGTTCCAGATGGGTATTTAAAGAGAAGGAGGATGTTTACAACTGTTTAACTTAAATCAGGGGGTCTCCGCGATGCCTCACTCCATGATAATTTCTTTGGTTTTCCCACTAATAAACGAGATAATTTATATATATATATATTTTAAAATCTCTGTTTAAAAGACAATTAAAAAGGGTGCGGGTTATACTCCGATTTTAATTTACAATTACAAACTCACGCCTGTACAACAACAGCTGCTCCATAACTACGGGTTATTCGAATGTTTTAATTTTGTTTTAGCAACTTTTGCGTGCAATTAAGTTTCCATTTTAATTATTTAAATTAAATTAAAAATGTAAATAAGACTACGACGTGATGTATAACCCGCGGGTTATCTTCGTTTAAAATACAATTTGAGAGGATGTTTTTACACAATTTAAAAACAGAATAATCTATTGTTCTTTACACTAAAATTTCTTAAAATATTATTATAATTTATTTATATAAATTTAAAATATTTTAAAGCTTATATATAACTCATAACATCATTAGAAGAGCTGATTAGCTTTGATTCATTTGTCTTGTAATAGTTGAACCTGTGTAAGCCGGATTTCTTCAGGTTCTGTTTTCGACAGGTTTTACTAAAATAATAATAAAAATTTATTTAAAAAGAAAAATATTCTGTCAAAATTTATTTTATTTCATTTCATTTCGCTTTTAATTTCATTAAAAATTGATTAAATTTTATTATTTATAACGCGTAAGTAATTAGACAGAGTCATACAAAATGAGATTTTTCCATTAATTTTAATAAATTTTATAGAAAAATAAAGATGTTAAATAGAAAGAGAATGTTGCGTATGATTTATTACAATACTTTTCTTTTAATAATTCCAACGATATCAATTTTTATACCTAATGAAATAAAGGAAATGAAATGTAATATGACAATATTTCTTTTGTTATCTTCGCTTAAACTGTGTATAAATTTCCTCCTTTGATTAATGTTTATGGCTTCTGTTTTTTTTTCCTTTTAAATACAGTAATGCAGTGATTTAGCTTAGTTTTACAGGCACTTAAAATATAATGTATCATTGATATTTTTAATATTTAAAAAATTAAAAATTTATCAAAAAAATTTATTTAGTATAATATTTCCATTTGCTTAATTAAATTTATTTTTAATTTTTGTATTTATTTCAGATTAAATTTTTAATTTTCTTCTTCCACTCCTTCACCTTTTTCTGCTTCATCTCTATCTTCTTCCTCTTCTGCACTTTCTCTTTTTCATTTCTTTCTTCTTCTCTTCCTCCAGTTTTTACTTTTACTACTTCCTCTCTTCCTCCACCTCTTTTTTACCACTTCTTCTCTTCCTGCATCTCCTTCTTTTACTACTTTCCTTCCTCCACCTTTTTTTTTACCACTTCTTCTCTTCCTGCATTTCCTTCTTTTACTACTTCTTCCCTTCCTCCACCTCTTTTTTACCACTTCTTCTCTTCCTGCATTTCCTTCTTTTACTACTTCTTCCCTTCCTCCACCTCTTTTTTACCACTTCTTCTCTTCCTGCATTTCCTTCTTTTACTACTTCTTCTTTTTTACCACTTCTTCTCTTCCTCCACCTGCTTTTTTTACTTCTTCTTTCCTTCCTCCATCTCTTTCTTTTACTACTTCTTCCCTTCCTCCACTTCTTTCTTTTCTCTCCTCACCTCTTGTTTTTTCGATCTTTTCTTCCTCCTTTTTTCCTCTTTTTCTCCTCCTTACCCTTCTCGTTCTTCTATGAATTTTTAATAAAAATAATAGAAAATGTAAATTATATTATGCATAGAAAATGTAGGCTATTAAAGAACATCAAAACAATCATAGATGACTTATAAGAACATAAATCTTAACGTCAAATTAATTTTGTTTCTATTAACTGAAGGGAATGTGAGAGAAATTATGAAAGATAAATCAAATAAATAAATGTTTATATATTGTAATAAATATATGATTTTTATATAAATCATTTTGT